ATCTAATAATAAACCCTTGGGGCTCCACAATACAGTGGTAGAGCCTCGCGGCAGCTTTTGCTGCCGCACGGATGGGCCGGCTCGAACCGGGGTGGTACCACGACCTCACAGAAAACCAGCGTGAAGTAGAGGTTTACCTCTGCGTTTCGCTTGGTGAGTGCAGGTGGCCGGAGGCCCTTTTTACTGGAAATGAGGCATTCCATCTTAGTCCCCACGGGTGACAACGCATCTACATTTTGAGTTGTAATAGAGGATAGATGTAGATGTCTATGGGCCGCAGTAGCCACTTGCCATCGGGTGGACTGTGTGCTCGTTTGTCACCCTTATCCTATAAAAAAAAAAGTAACAAAATATTCGGCATGTGATGTGCAATTAGCCTTGTACTTGAAACTAGTAGTTGTGATTTGTTTTTTTTTTAACTTGTCATTGTGGAGTATTAAATCGGCAAATGTGCAGCCTAAATGTTGGTGCTTAATGTTTGAAATAGCAGAAAACAAATATTTTATATCTATGACTCTGCGTCCTGATTACTTGTCATTTCAAATTTCTTCATTATGGTCACCATCATCGTCATCACAAACTAAATGCAAGTCAGCGAGTGTAGTGGTCGACGATGAGCAGCTTGCGTTTTCTTCAAACAGTTCTAGACTCTCTCTCCAAGTTGCAAGAAAAAAACTTTTAAAAGCCTTGCCCATGCAATTTGAGGGTTTCTCCTGATTTTCCTGGGATCCCATCATCAGATCCTGACTTATACCTTTCATCATCATTTCAACAACATGAGATGATGATTACCAGGTATAATGCCTATATGTGTCTATAAAATTTGGAGAGTTCCCTCGATTTTTTTCAGGATCGCGTCATCAGATCCTAACATCATGACCATGGGAACATATGAGAAGTATACTGTTTCAAAAATGCCCATAAAATTTGTGGATTGCCATTAATTTCCTAGAGATCTCACCATCAGATCCTAACTTATACCTTTCATCATCAGCTCAGCAACATGAGATGATGATTACCAGGCACAAATATCTGCATTGCGTTAGAAAGTACATGAAAAACGTTATATGTGCCTATAAAATTTGAAGTTCGCCCTCGATTTCTCTGGGATCCCATCATCACATTCTGACTTGGTGACAATGGGACCACCTCAGGAGTATAAGCTTTCGAATAAAAAAAGAATTTTGAAAATCGGTCCACAATTGGCGAAGAAATCGGTGAACATACATAAAAAAAATACATACAGTCGAACATATATCCTCCTCCTTTTTTGGAAGTCGGTTAAAAATGTATAAATCAAGTAAAAGCCACCGATGGCAACCCCAGTCGGAAGGTGAAATTCTGTTATATAGTTTTATAATATTTGATTGCAATAGATAGGCACTATATAAATGCATATTGGCATTGACATAAATACGAACGTCCGCAATAGGTGGTATTTCGTCCGCTGATATGGGATAAACATGGAATAAATCACGTGCTAAACAAAGATACTAGGTGTTGTTATTGCCGCTTTCATATTATTGTCGCCTTATGACAACGACCATCTGGAGTAGAATCCAACCATGCCATTCAAAATTGACCACCTCACGCCCCTTTGACCATAATAGATATGAAATTTTAATTACTTGGATGGTACTTGTACACGGTGCAAAATGAATCTTCCCTTTTATACGTAAATGATGTTTTTTTCTTGTAGCACTCATATACGCGTACTCAATAGACGCGTTTTATTCCCCTTTCTACATACATATACATACATAAACACTCACGCCTGTCACCCAGAGGGGTAGGCAGAGATTATGGACTTCCATTTGGCACGATCCTGACACACCTCTCTCGCTTCCTCCACATCCATATACCTACGCATACACGCTCGTCGGTTAAAGGTACTCTTGATTTGGCCCATTTTTAATATATCGCCAATTTGGTCGATAAACTTTCGCCTAGGGCGACCCTTCCCGACTATGCCGTTCACCTCTGCAACATAAATTTGCTTTGTCACTCTTTCCTCATTCATTCTTTCTACATGGCCAAACCACCGAAGCATTCCTTTCTTAATCCTGGTCACAACATCATCTTGCAAACCACACTCTTCTCTTATTAAACAATTTCTCACTCTGTCATTCAGCTTCATCCCTAACATACTCCTTAATGACCGCATTTCTACAGCATTTATTCTACTCTCATGCTTCTTCTGCCACACCCAACTTTCACTACCATACATTAAAGTAGGTACTAACACAGCATTGTGAATTGCCATACGTGCCTTTTTGGACACATTCTGACTTTTCACAATAGAGTGTAGAGCCCCATTCACTCTATTTCCTGCATTCACTCGTCGTTCTATATCCTTATCATATCTACCATCCCTGCTAAACACACATCCCAAATATACAAACTCATCTACTTGCTCTACCAACTCCCCTTCTATTCTTATTTCACATATCGTTTTACTTTCTTCTCTTTCAAAAACCATAACTTTCGTCTTACTTGCGTTCACTTTCATTCCCTTTTCTTTTAATGTCCTGTTCATTAATGTAACCATCATTTGCAACTCGGCTGCCGACGACGCAAGTATGACTTGATCATCGGCGTACAAAAGGCATTTGACGGTTAACTCACCCATTCTTAACCCGCATTCTTCTACTTTCAAATTTTCCAAACAACTGTCCATAAACAGGTTGAACAACCACGGGGAAGCTACACAGCCCTGTCTGACACCTTTATGGATGTCAAACCAGTCCGAGTAGGCCCCGTTGATCCTGACACAAGCACTAGAGTCCCTATATAGAGACTTCAATGCCTGTATCAGACCAGCGCTCAACCCAAATGAGTTCAGTGTTTGCCATAACACATCCCTGTCCACTCTGTCATAAGCCTTCTCCAAGTCCATGAACGCACAAAAAACTTTTTGGTTTTTGGCCAAAAACTTCCCCTTTCTTTGACCCATTATTAACGAAAAAGGGTTTACCTGAAACAAAATTCAATAATTTACTACACTAACTAAACTAAAACTAACACTACTTATATTATTGAACTTCTTTTGTCGATTTGAAGGGGGTAACAGATTAATAAAAATGGCAATAGTTTCTTCAAATACCTATTTCTCAATACTACTACTACCGACTACGCTCTTAATCTCGTAATAAAATGGATCTGGTATATTATAAAAAATTACAATTTCATTGTTTAGGAAATTGCCACCCAGAACTCAAACCAGGTTCAAAGCAGCCAGAATCAAAACTCGCAAAATTCAAATCAATCTGGTTGGAACCAGTGGGCAAACCAATGGGGTGGATGGGGCAACTGGAACCAGAACCAAGGTAAGTTTTTTGAATGAATAGTATCTTTCTTGATATAAAAATAAGACCATAAAACTTAATAAGTATGGCATTCCTGAGACTGCTCATTTTAATGAAACTTCATATATTATATTATAACATTAGTAAATTTTATTAAATTTATTAACTATATTAACGAAAGTACACTAGATTATATCTAGCTGTTCCATTAAGAGGATATTTGGGCTGCAAGAAATTTGAAATAGTATATTTCATTACGAGTGCTGAAAGCCTGTCATTGCAAAGAGTTCCGACAAATATCTACCCGAGCCGAAGCGCAGCCGAAGGTGAGAGTTGACAGTCGGAACAAGTGGCAATGACGGTTCCCCACGTGTACTGAACAACTATTTTTAATACAGTTGCGAAAAAATGAAGCAAAACATTTTTCGAAAATGGTGCCCACTGCGAAAGAATATAAGCAGAGATTTTTTTTTGTTTTCTTCACCCATTCTGAGTAGGCAAAGGGAACTATGCCCATACAGCCAAGTCTTTAGTAGAATTTTTTTATTGATATGAAATGAAAATGAAATTGAATGAGATGAAATGAAACCTAACCTAACTCATTGAATCAAATCATTAAATATGATATTGAAACAAATCAGTAGCTTCTTTTTAGAAATATTTGCATGAATCATAAAAACTTCTATGAATTTTTTTAGTAAAAACTTCGTGGTTGGTTTTTTCTTTTTAATAGACATTACTTTGACAGTTGGGAAAGAGAAAGCACGAGTTCGGAAAAGGTAAAGAAAAAACTCTAGTATGTAATAGCCCACATCCCGAACGCTATACATCCCTGCAATACGCCACTTTTTGAGCAACTGTATTTAAAAGATTATTAACTATCTACTGCTGTTGAGCTATGTCCGCACACTGAGCTAGGCAATCGAAAAAGACAATTTCAGCAGCTCTAACTGGTTTCTCGGAAATGTCTCTAACAGATTTAGATGAAATTTTGTATTTAAGCAATTTTACTTTCAAATTTCATATAAATAGGTGTCATCTCTAAGAAAATTTTCATTTTTTATAACACTAAGCAGAACACGGTCGCCCAGGTACTGTGTAATATTATGTTTTACAATGCAATATTACACTATTACAACAAAGTCACAGAAAATATACAAGACCTATGTAACAAAAAACATGAAAATTTTTATTAAAGAAAAACTGTTTAATAATGGTTTTATTAATTATTATACCACTACATAAGTGTGCATGATTGATAATAACTCCTGGGTATGAGGTGATCGCACCCACGCTGTTTCTAAATTTTTTTATATTTAATTGCTGGCAGGTAGATGTTCTACCTTTTCCGAAGACCTTTTGTCCTATAAAAATCCGTAAATTCGCAATAAAAAATATTAAGGGTAACTTATTGGGGATAAAGACTATCTTATTTCTCAAGTTGGACCAAACTGCACACAGTGTGCAAAATTTCATTGAAATCAGTTCAGTACAATATGACACGTAATGTTTAAAAAAGTTTCTTGATGATTTCTCTGAGGCCATTACGAACCAATGGTGAGAACATAAATGACTCAATAAATATTATTACTATCGGAATCATTATATATTGAATAATTATTATTGTATTCTACTAGTGTGTGAAAGAATCAGTCTATCATCTTTAGTGACTTGTTTGTACTTTGGATTAGACACGGGACGAGTACTCGGTTTGGATTCGGTACTCGACGGATTCGGCCTTTTTTTAGGGTTCGGCCGAGCACCGAGTGTTAACGGCCGAGTACTGAGTACTCGGCCTTAATTATATTCCAGAGAAAAATAAAAACCAAAAGCCAGCTTTTATCAGTATTATTATATTAAACACATTAAAACATCATGAACATGAGAAGCAGCAGAAATATTTAGAACGTACATAAGAATCTATAATAGAAATTATTATTACTAATATTTAAAATTTAAGAGAGGAAGATTGTAATGCAAAAGCACTAGTTTTTCGGCCCTATTTGGGTCTAGTTTGTAAGGGAAATAACTGCACGCCGCCCGCTACCGTGTTTTTTTAAAGCCGAGTATTCGGCAGAGTACTCTGCCTAATCTAGGCCGAGTACTCGGCGAATCGACTCGTTCCATGTCTACTTTGGATAACTTTATATTTTTGAGAGTTCCTTTGTAAATCACTCTCCAAGTAAAAATAAATATTAAATAAACAAATACGACTTTTTTCCTTTTCTTTTTTTAAAGCAGGTTGGGGCAACTGGGGTAATTGGGGCTGGCCGCAAGGTGGTGGTAACAACCAATCTGGAGGCGGTGGAAACCAAGGCCAAGGAGGAGGTGGTGGTGGAAAAGGCAATCAGGGCCAGAACCAAAACCAAAACCAGAACCAACAGTGGCCAAGCAATTACACCGCTCAACAGTGGTATCAGTGGCAACAATGGCAACAGCAGCAACAGGGTTGGCCTGGGGTGAGTGAAGCATTATATTTACGATTTTTTATGAGGAAGATAATCAAATATCTTTAAGACCTGTAATCCTGTCCCCTGTCCACCTGTAATCATCATAATGTAAGTGACAATTTCGGAGCTATTGTAAAATGTTAGTAGGTATACCAGTGTAAAATGGCAGCTTGACACTGCTGTGTTTCATATGGTGAGTGTAGAGAACCGGAGACCCATTTTACTGGAAAAGAGGCATTCCATCTTAGTCCTCACGGGTGACGACGCATCTGCATTTTGATTCTTTATTGAGGATAAATATAGATGTCTATGGGTCACAGCAACCACTTACCATCAGGTGGACTGTGTGCTTGTTTGTCACACCATCCTATTAAAAAAAAGGTATCAACTGTAGAAGATATTTTAGTGGCACATGTGTCAACTCTCACACAGACATTCCAGGTGGTAGGATTCCGTTAGAAGGGTTATAGATAGCCAGTTTAATTATCGGCTTTGAAGCATTCTATCTGGTGATAACTGATGACAACACATTTTCTACCCACTTCAAAAAGGAGACTAGGTAGGAGAAAGGAGATTAGGTATAGAAAAGAGGCATTCTATCTTAGTCCTCACGGGTGACAACGCATTTGCATTTTGATTCGCAAACGAGTATAAATGTAGATGTCTATGGGCCACAGCAACCACTTACCATCAGGTGGACTGTGTGCTCGTTTGTCACCCTATCCTATAAAAAACGAAATTCCTGTTGCTATTTTATCTAAGTCTTATTGTCTGTGTATTTTCGATACTGAGTAGTTTATCACTAAACTTTTTTATATTGTTACCGTTGTTTTAGTACCAGCAATCACAAGGCAACCAACAATCGAGCAACATGGACCAACAAGCATGGGCTCAATACTATCAGGTAATTATGTCGTAATTTCTTATAAAGTATACATATTGTTAAAATAAATATGTATTGGATATTTTTGTTGGCAATGGAATATAATAAATAGGTAAAAGAACTCTTGTAAGCATTTTATGAATAATCTTTTTTTTTACATTACCATGCAGGCTTATTTGCCTTGTTTACTTTTTTTTTTTTAATGAAAATCCTTTACAAGTTCAATAATGTACAATTAAAACATGTTATTTGTATTCACATTCTCTATAACATTTTTACTCTTACAGAATTATGGCGGCGCAAACTCTGGACCTATTACAGGCGTTCCTCCTCCTGATAAGAAATAACGACAAGAAACACAATTTCATACACGCGACGGGTTAGAATCATGATAAGGAATGATTATCTAAATAAAAGCACATTATGCCAAATTGTATTAAAACAGAAACATTTTTAATTGGCTGTATACATATATATTCCATTATGTGTTGATATCGACAAAGCTTAAAATTAAACCTTCCCCAAGCGTATTTAAAGAACATGGCATAACTATGTAAAAATATTTACTTTAATATGAAACATATTATATAAACCTACAAAAATACATATAATAAGGAACCTAAATTTATTTTTTAAGCTTTTAGTCGTGCTTGAATCTAATTAAACTAATGATTACACCACACACTGTTTGCTAAGTTTTAAAGGGCACTTTATGATGTCAAATTCAAAGCACAACAATAATCGTATTTCATCTTTTACGTTGTAAAAACTACAACGATATAAACGTCAAACAAAACCCGTCAGTTAACAAGTAGATAGTCCTGTTTTTTAATTTGCAACTATTTTGTCGATGTTTGCAATAAAAATAAGTAGTTTGTAAGTATTTGGGTTATAAGGTTTTAATATAGGAGACTCAGTTTCTTTTAGCTAAGAGCTTAAAACTAAGTTTTTTCAAATGTAAATGATACTATATTTTTATAGTCGTTTGTAAAGCACATTCAATATTATTCACTGTGTGTGTGTACTTTGGATTGTAAAATTACAAGGCACATGTAAAATAATTAAGACATTGTGACATTACAACATGCATCTTGTGATTTCTCTTTAAAAATATTTACCGACTACGAATGTTCTATGATAATGTCTTTTTTAGGAAAAATAAATGAGACGGAAACGGCGTTTCATAAGTAATTAAGGTTTTGTAAGTAGGTTCAAGCGCATTTGGAAATCTGTGTACTGGTATAGAATTCATATTACAATGACCGAGTTGTTAATGTGGCGTGAATGTGTGTGTGGTTGTAAGTATTGATTAAACTACGTTTAGTAGTGCCGTGGTTTTAAGTTTCAGGTGTTATTCTGATGCAATTAATTGATTTAAATAAAATTATCTTAAAGAATGTGTCGAATTATTTCGAAACAACCAAATTACACAAAGGTAACCCATAAGTATTGGTAATAATACTTTAAATACCCTTGTTATTTATGCTGGTCGAGTCTGAGCTAAAGTGAACTCTTGCGAACTTGACGAAAGAACGCTGGCGAATATCTGTGTACACGTTAAAAATCAAATTCATAGAAAGTTATCCAATTCATCCACCCATTACATCCCTTCACAAGCCACTGCAGAACATAGACCCGTTATTAATGTAACCTACTGACATGCCTGCCGCATGGGCAATTTAGGGTGTACAACGATCGGGGCAATATCTGAACTGTCTCTACACACATGCCTGCCGTTCAGTAGAGATGAGTCGTACTAGGTAAATCTTGTACTAGGTGCACCTAATCCAATTCCGTACAAATACTTGATGCAAATACCTGTTTCTCCTAGTCCATGAAGTATGCATAATGTTTGGTATTGTCGGAGAATAGGGTACACTTTAAAGTATGCTTAGTCTTTGCGTACCACCGATACGTGTACGTATGCAGTAATTAATTATATTACCTTCATACTTTACACAGACTTAGGACTGTCAACGTAAAGATTTATCTACATTGTAGATTGTTGGCGTATGAAAAAAATGATAAAATAAAATATTCACTTTTTTCAAAGTAATCAGATTTTTGCCTTTTTTAAGTATTTTTTAATCACCTATCAACAATAATTGTTTTTTATATATACGGAGAAAATCAGTTTTAGAAATTTTGATTCAAGAGCATTAATTGTTCGACTTTCCGAGTCCCCAGCCTCGTTCTCCTGTCAACAATCCACAGGAGGAAAATAATCTTTCACAAGGGACATTGCATTTAACTTGTTGAGTGCTAAGGCATACAAAAGCGGGTATATATCTTTTCACTTTTTCCACCACTCTAGTGGTGATTTTTATATATGTGTGAAGCTATATTTCTCGAACCTGGTTGTACTACGGCGGCACTGAAAATTTCGGGAACCAAGGAAGTGACACAACATTACTATTTAAAAATGTATTTATTGCTTTTCAAAGTATTCTCCGCGAAATTTGACACATGTTTCCATACGATGGAACCAATCATTGAAGCAACCATTCCATTCGGAAGTTGGGGTCTCCAAAATGGCCGTTTTGTAGACGTCCACATCTTCTTCAGGTGATGAAAATCTGTCCACGCAATTTATTCTTTATTTTAGGGAAATTATAGAAATCATTAGGGCTTAGGTCGGGGCTGTACGGCGGATGGTCTAATAATTCTATGTTTTCTTGCTCTAAAAACTCTTTTGTTCTGTGTGCTGTGTAAGAACTCGCATTGTCGTGATGGAGGATGATGCGGCGGTTGCAGTTCTCTTTACAGAGTTCAGAAACGACCTGTGGCAAACAAATGCTAGCATACCATTCTGCATTAACCATTCTTTGTCCCTCAAGAGGAATAGTCGTAACATGGCCGGTTTTGGAGACAAACGTGGCCACCATTTTTTTTGCAACACCGTGAAAGAACAATTTTTGTTGGCTTTAACTCATTTTCGAACACCCAAACTCGCGACTGGTTTTTTGTTTCGGGTTCGTACGCGTATGGCCCATTCTCATTTTTGCAAATTTTTTTTGTGCAATTGTATTAAAAAATGAAATACTTTTATCATTTCTAAAATTCCTATCTACAGTTAATCTAAGTAGGTTATATTAACAGGATTTTTATGAAAACTTAAACAACATTAATATTTTTTTAATCATCATTAAGAAAGTGACGAAAATGTCACCTCCATGTCGTGTGCAACATCAGTTTATGATACTACAGGCTAATATAAAATATACATATCAATAATAAGTTATTATTTTATATTTTTTTACAATAAAACATGCAAAAATCTTTCTAAAAGACAAAATAATTAAAACACAAATGAAATAAATGATTCCAAATATTTCCTAACTTTTGTGCATGGAAAAATTATCACCTCCGTGGATAAACTTACTGAACGCAGCCACAATTCAATAAATAAATAAAGACAGTTCCTCAACAAATACAGACAACAAATATAACGCCATCTTGAAAATTTTTCACAGTTTGTACGTCCTGGGACGGGAATTTTGGAGTAAAGACCTATAAAGTAAGATTTGTTTAAAATTAGCATGCTATTTCAGTCACTTTTGTGGATTACTTATCACAAAGTATTAATTCAATTAAGGTCTATCAGATATCGTAAAATGATGGGCCACTATAGCCGTTATCTTGGTATTTCGTCATTTTTAATAATCAGCGTTTGAGATTACGATAAAATGTTATCTAAGTTTAAAATCTCACTTCCATGGATGTGACAGTACTGTGATCGCTCTTCAGTAATTTAAAAATTATCAATGTAGGGTAGTTATAGCACTAAAAATCAGGAACAGATCAATCGCAAGACAAAATAATGCAAGAGGCGACGTCGAAAAAAACAAAGACCAATCCACAGTTGTACGACCAGTTTAAAGCTACAGAAAGAGAGTTATAGAAATTTAAAATAAAATTATATCTATTGATCAAATGTCAGAAAAAAAACAAAAAAAAAAAACAGAAAAAAGAATGATGTAAGAGGCAATAAATTTTATATAAGTATAAATTGTAGAATAAATGGAAAATGCTGGGAAAGATTTTTATAGAGTGTGCATGATGATCGCCTTAAAGTGACATTAAAAATGATCCAATTTCAGTAAGGCATTTAAACATTAGGTATTCTCCTAATGTTTCAAGCATACATTCTCTTCCGGTCTTAAGTACATGATCTCGTTGTTTGAAGCCGTATTTTGTCATCTTACAGAGACCTATCTCCATCAGTGTTTGAAAATTCATCCAGTATTAGAGATTTATCCAGTAGTTGTAGTAAGTACTACATCATACCAAATCAAAACTGGACTTAATACTTTTAAGACGACTTAGCTGTGCAAAATGGGATACAAATTGATTTCATAATGGAATAGGAAAGTCATTTACACGAAGTGCCATCGTTGAAGAATCTCTTCCTGGCTCAAGTCATGACATTCCACATAGAGTGCCAGAGAAACTACTGTGATAGTAACTGAAGAATCGCTTCCTAGGCCTAGTCACGATATCCCTCATGAACAGCTAGAAAATACTATCATAGTAACTGTAGAACCCAACACATTTGACAGAACTAAATAACAGCTGTAAATTCTTTTCGGGAATTGATCGGAGGCAACTGATTAAATTGGTCTGCAATAAGACAGAAATATTTTACATTGGTGAAATTGTCACTGTACTCGATTATAATTCTCTAATCTTTCACGTGGTAGAGCCACGCTGCAGCTATGTTTTGGTTGTAGCATGAATGGGTCAGCTCGACTGGAGCGTACTGGGACAACGTAAAGTAGCAGCTTGATGCTAATGTGTTTCGTATGGTGAGTGTAGAAAACCGGAGACCATTTTACTGGAAAAGAGGCATTCCACCTTAGTCCTCAGGGGTGACAACGCATCTCTATTTTGATTCGTAATCGAGGATAGATGTAGATGTCTATGGGCAACAACAACCACTTACCATTAGGTGAATTAGATGCTTTTTTGTCACCCTACTTCTATAAACAAAAATTTTAATATTATATCAAGTTTGATTCCAATTGACAAGTGTGATGAAGAATACACGGAGTTTGTTTGGCCACAGTGTAAAGATGTTTCGGATTGTAGTTATTTCTGTTACTTTATCACAATCACATTGTAGTCAAAGAAATGTTAAAATAAATATTATTACGTTCATTCCCCCATTTTCGCTAAGATTATTCTAATGAATAAGATTCTATGCTTGGTTTCATATTTTTTCTAAAAATGATTAAGTTGTTACTCCTTTTTATTATGGTTTCTCATTTATAATAATTTAAATAGTCTCAGTTACCTACTTTATTTCGTAAGACTTTTGCAAGTTATATGCTAACTAAATAATGTTGATTAATAACAATTTAATTACTATTAAAAGGTTGCTTATGTGACCAAATAGAACCGAATAAAAGTTTTGTTAACCAACGTGTGTTCCTATAAAACTTATTAGTAATAGGTATATTTAACATAATATTAATTAAGCGTAAATACGTTCTTAATTAAGACTTAATATTACTAAATATCAAATTAATTAGTTATATACAGAAAATAATTAAAAAAATATCGTTTTATTCATCCATAAATCATTAATAATTTATTAAAATTTTACAAATATGTCACTACCGTAGAGTTGTGTCACTTCCGTGGAGAGGTGTTTTCATTTTTCATGTTTTTTGTGAAAACTACAGTAAAAATAGCTAGGCTTTTATGTGATCCATTTTGCAAGATAAGATAGCTTTAATTTGAGACTACTTTGAATTATATCAAAAAGAAAATTTAGATTTTTATGTCCGCTTTTGAGAATGGCCGTATATCCAGGATTCGTCACCTGCATAGATTACCTCCTAAGTAATCTGTGGTCACCTGATACGATGTTGTATACAGCATTTGAGGATCCTGCGTGGAATCTTTCGAGAGTTCTGACGCACCAAGTAACGCGAGCCGCTTTTTCCTCTTCATGCGGTATCCATCGGGAAAACAACTTCTTTACACCTAATTGTTCATGCAAGATTATTTGTATTTGACTGCAGTTTTTGGACGACCTTGACGGGGATTATCACTGAGCTTGACACGTCCACGTTGAAATTCAGCAAACCAGCGATAAATTGTGGTTTTGGATGGGGCTTCATCACCAAATGCAGAAATCATCCGGTCAACACACTGTTTTTGTGTTAAACCACTTCGAAAGTAATAATAAATCATCGCTCTTGAATTTTCTCTAGTCAATTCCATTTTCTCAACGACTAAACAAGTTTGACAAAACCTTGTGACAAGACCGAGAATCTTTTTTTAAATAAATAAATGGTATTTGATTTTTAAAACTAAGGACTTTTCTATTAAAAAGATTTTAATATGACAGGAACAGTGGAAATATTCCATTCCCGATACTTTTAGTGCAGCCTATGTAATCGTACTAAGTTAGTGGACGGCCTTTGTTCACCTTCAGGTTGGTAAACTGGTTGCAGTTTACCAACCTGAAGCAGGTTGGTAAACTGCAATCAGTATATAAAATAAAACATAACCTCAAAATCTCTATGATAACTATTTCAGAAATGTTCGTCAGGAGTTATTATTCTTACATACAATTATGTGTAACTTCGGACTTAAAAAAGTATTTTTTCACTGTTGGTTCTTAGGCGAACATTGTATGGACGCAGAACAATGTCATTTGTAGTAAAAAACTACTTGGACAGCAACAATATAACAAAGCCACAATTTAAAAACAACCTTCCAGGTTACTAATGGGGTGTGTTGTTCTTAGAAAGAAACTCAGAATTAAAAGCAAAAATAGCTCATAACATATCCCGAAAGGGGGCTCAAGCCACTCGAGAAATGGTCGAGGAATGCTTTGAACATGTTAAAACGAAAATAGAAGGTGTCCCAGCAGAATATATATACTTATATATATATATATAACATAAATGAGTCGGGATGTCATGAAGACCCTGAAAAAAAAAGTTGATTTCGTAGGGACTCTCGGCATTCCGAAGTTATAAAAATACCAGTAAATCGTGTTACACTATGGTTTTTTGTGCAAATGCTGGTGGCGAAGTTTTGCCTCCTTTTTTATATTTAAAGGAAAGAAACTGCGGTCAGATTGGCTTTTTCAAGCTCCTTCAGGTTCAAGAATGGCTGTGTCTGAATCTGGAGGGATAGATTCTTCAATCTTTGAGGAGTGATTGGAAAGACATTTAATTCCACACGTTGATAAGCAAGATGGCAAGAAGGTATTGTTGTGCGATAATCTCAGCGCCCACTTATCACCAAAAAACATTACCTACGTCATTGCAATGAACTTAACATCACGTTCATTTCTTTACTACCAAATTCAACCCACCTGTTGCAACCACTAGATGTGGGTTATTTTTCTGGCTTAAAAACTGCATGGAGGAAAGTTCTCAATGATTATCAACAGACTAGTAAAGAAAAAAGGTACAAGCACTGCCATAGCCTCTCTTTGCCCAGCTGCTCAAAAAGTCTCGGTTTCGGAGCTGTGGCTTGCAACCAATTTCACCTTCTACCGTTTTGAACCAATTACCAAGGCAGATGTTTGCTATTCTGTTGGTACAAGTTTCATATTCTGTTGGTACAAGTTTCATAAACTACATAGAAGAAATAAAGCAAAGAGTTTTGCATGTGAAGAAAGAAAGAAAATTTTAATTACCTGTCACAGCTGGAAATAGTGTTTCGGCTGAGGAGGTCGAAAAACATTATGAAAAAAGAGACAATATGAACAAAAGTAATGGACAAAAGGGAGCTGTAAGCGGCGCGCAATCCAAGAAAAAGGACGACCCCTGGGTCCTAAGAACAAAAAGAAGAAGAAGAAGGTTACTAATGATATAGAAGACGAAATAATAAAGATTTTCTCAGTGACCAGATAAAGAGTGAAGAAGTAGAAGATAAAAGTGTTAAAAAATAGTGATAATGAATCTGAAAAAACTGAAAGAGAAGTAATAGTAGTAGAAGCTTTAGTTCACAAATATCCTCAACTCGCCAAGACATCTGCTGGTGAAGTAAGCAACGCTTTTGAAAATTAAGTTGTGGCAGAAGATATGATCCAGGAATTAGAAATTGTAAATGAAGATAGCCCTGACTTAGGCATAGGTAATGAAGTGATTTTAATGTATGAAGAATATATAGTAGATGAGACAAGTGGTGATTTAAAGGGCGTGACGACTGAGAAGTTTGCAGGCAAGGGAGACGTTAAATTCCCTAAAATAAAAGAAGGCCTTTAGAGAAGAGGGTAGTTTAGTCCCAGGAAGGATACAAAAAGTTAGACCCTTACAAGTCTGTGCTCCAAAAAAACACTTAGGAAATTGGTTTTGGCCCTCTAAAGCTGACATATATCAAATCGATGAGGCCAATATAATAAGTGTTTTAAAAGAGCAACAGCTAACCAAAAAGGCGGCCAACTTTTATGGAAGATGACATTTTGTTCATGCAATGGGGTGAATGACTTTGTTTAAAAAAAATCGTTTAAGAAAATATTACTTGCAATTATGATTTTTGATTTCATTCGATAGCCTTAATTTTTTTTTACAGATTGTAGTATCACAAATACCGTAAAAGATTTACAAACTTACCCAAATCGACTGTACGCCAGTTATATATTAATTTTTTCAGATAAGGTCTTATTTAAGTATAAATATTAAATATGTAGCTTTCTACTTAATTGTTTATCTATGGTTAACGCATTGACGTCGTACTGTTCATTTCACACAATTAGGTATCCATAGCAGCTGCCTCTTGAACGTTATTCATGTTAAGGGTGCGGGCGACTCAAGACGATAGTTCTTTGCGAAGTAGTACAATTGTGTAGTCACAATTTTCCGACTGCGATCGACTTCGACGAGCACTTCGTCAAAGTTACTCCGCGAGTAGTGTAGAGGAGGCACCAGACTTACACAGAGTCTACAATGGACAACAACAACTGGACACGATGGT